CTTTAATTATGCTTTCAATGCTTATTTCAAAGTCAGGAGGGATGCTGGTCTGATGGTTGGAGAATCAGACTAGAATTCAGCAGATCTGGATTGATTTCAAATTCCTGTCATAGCTTTGCTTTATCAGGTCTTTAGCAGCTTACTTTTTTTTGTCTGTGCCTCATTTTATAGTCTGCAAAAAGGAAATAATGATCCTTATGTTCCATCTGTACCGTCCTGCCATACCAATTAGCTGGTAGGACTTTTGGGGCTGTATATGTGCCTTGCTCCAACCCTCCTGGGCCATATCAGCTCTTCATTTCAGAAGAAATGAAAATTTCTTTTTCTTTTGCCTTGCCTGGCTTGGAGGGAAAGTTCCCAGTGATCGGATTTGGACTCTACTTACCTTTTGTTGTCTTTCATGTAGCACCTTTCGTAGACCTATTTTTGCAGAAGACCCAGGGCGCTGGAGCCAGCTTAGTGGCTGTGCAGGACAGCTCTGAGCATTTCAGATCGCCTTGTGGAAGCCTAAGACAAGCCCCAGCTCAACAGGCCGACTGAGTACGTGCTTAATCTCTGCCTATTCCACAAACATTTTAAACATAAACATGATCTGAAGTGTTTTGCTATAGATGGGTGAGCTCCAAAATGTGCTGCTGTTCTTTGCTCGATAAGGATCGGTATTTCTCTCTGAAAGAACTCGTTATAGGACAGGCGAATTAGTGTTGCCTGCATTTTTAGGTAAGAGACTTGACACTTTGCTATGCATGTGGCAGCAAAAGTAGACAAAACCAGAAAATATTTTTTAAATTGCTTCCTGACATGTAAACACAGATTATTTAGTGTGATAATTTGCACATGTATTATAGATTAATGCCATCAAACTAAACTATGTGATAGCAACCACTGACGCTAATCTTGTGCTCTTCGTTCTTGAAAACAAAAAAAACCTCATCTGCTTTAAAAATTTTTTTCTCTGAAGAACCTGCTGCTTTTTAAAGCAAGCTGCCTTCATTAAGGAAAGGGTTTTTTTCTCCTTACATACGATTTAAAAAGCACATCAAGATAAGAGACTTGAAGTGGTATAGGTTATGTGTTCCAATGCAGAGAGTTCTGCTTTTTAAGAAAAAAACTCATATTATTTAGGAAATTGCTTATTTAAAAAACAGCAAATAATGTATTACACTATCACCTTTGAAAACTTTTGGAGTTTAATATAATTTAACAGATGGCCATTTATGCGCAATTGCAACTTGTCGTCAACCTAACGCTGTGCTGCTGATAAACAGTGACAGAAAAGTGGGAGATCCAAAGTACATGCAGCCAAAGCATCCCAGCCTGCATATATCAACTCCTATATAAATCACATATGGAAAACTACCAAGCCTGGGATTTTAATCCGCCTGAGACAGTTTATGAACCAAATGCCACAGCCAAAAAGCAACTCCCGTGTAATGTGTATAAATACTAGTGTATGTACATATATGCATACATACACATATGCATTTATTCACTCTATGGTATGTATTCAGACCTGATACAGAAGTGTGAATGGCAAAAGCTGTGTACACTTGCCTTCTGAAAAACTGTCTGCCTTAGTTGTTGAGCTCTCTTCCCTCACCCCTGTCCTCAGTCTTAGGTTTGCAAAGCTCAGCCCTTTGCTAGAATCTTGATGAAAGGCAAATCTGGCAGGATTTCCTTCTTTGTAACTGGGGCTCTTTCCCCAGTTTGTTTGACACAGATACAGTCCTCAGCAGTCCCTGAAAGGGATTCAAATCCCTCCCCACCCTCTTCGCCCCTTGTATTTTTTCCAGGTGAACACTCTACAACTCCCTCAACAAAGTGGATTTTTTTTTTTTCTTTCCAGGACCCAAGTATGAATGTTTCTGGTAGGAGGTACATAACAGAAACATCTTTGCCAAATGCTGCTGCCTCCTTCCTTGGATATGAGAAAGCATTTTGTGGAAATGGGAAAACCAAATGAATAGAGTCGGCCAGTCCCGCACGCCTCCTTGTCTGCGAGTATCCCCACCCTGGGGACGTGGGCTCTGTTACCAACTCAGGGGAATGGGTTTAAGGAGTCCTTTGTTGAAATATTGGCAAGCACATCACTGGACTCACTGTCGTTGCAGATGGAGTGCTTTGCCGAACAGATGGATTCTCAGCTTTCTGAAAGAAAGGGAAGGTACTTGATGTACCACGGTGAAAAAGGAAGGGGGAGGGAGGAGGGTATTCCAGGCATATGGAGAGGCAGGAAAGAAGGCACGTTCTGCACTTTTTGGAACACTTGGAGCCTAGCAACCTCTCTCCGGCAAACTTGCTGGGAAAGCTTAAGCACGGTGATCAGCAAGAGGGCAAAGGCACTGTAAGAGACACGGAGGAAGCAATTTGCACAGAAGCAGTAAAAATGAAGGCAGAGTCTATAGAACCCTGGTCTCCTGGGCATGTAACTACTGTGTTGTGAAAGAGGCTAGAAGTAAATGTTACCTGTCACTGTGAAACTAGGAATCCCCGTTTTCCAGCAGGGTATGCATCACTGTCGAACTGTGATGGCACAGATTGCACAGTGGCATCATTCACGTACCGTATTGCCTCTTCTCTTGTGCTTTTCCTCCTTCCCTCCTCACCTCCCCATCTTGTTCATACCTCACTTCCATCTTAATTGTTAGGGCAGGATAACTTCTGCTCAGCCCCAAGAGCCTGCAATCCTGACTCGAAATGCTGTTATCTGATCCAATATTTACTGCTAAAATCTTCATGTGATTGCCAAGTGGAGTGTGATAAGGAAGCAGCATGAGCTGAAAGGAGTGATCATATTTTGGTGTTGTGTGTTAACCCTCTTCAACTTTTCAGTCACTTCTCACACACGCGCACACAGAGTTAGGAGAAATATTGTGCTTTATTGTGGTACAGTCTAGGATATGGTGACACTGGACTTTAATCTTTATTTTTACCTCTTAGCTTAATTAGGCAATTTCAACACCTCTTGAATCCAGACATTAAAGCTGTTCAGCAATAGTAAGGCTGCCAAAGGCCTTGGAAATCCAGATTTTCTGGGAAAAAAAATACATGTGATAAAGGGCAAAAATGTCAAGGTTCTTTCAAAGTGTGATTCACTGCTGAAAGCAGCTATGCAAAAATATCACTTTCTTAAATAATGGCTCTGGCTTTTGTTCATGGCTCTCATTGTGTCTGCAGCAACAGAAATGTTTAAAGTCTTTTCTCCTGAAAATAAAGTGAACTGGATTACATGCCTACTTGTGCATCAACTGTGCTCCATTTTGCAGGACCAAATTCTCAGGGAGGCTCTGAAATAAAATAAACAAGGAATCCCATCACTGAATTTTAGTGTGAACATTTTTCAGATCATTGTGTCTGGATCTCTGCCAGGTTATAGCCCTATAATAAATTAGTTCCAACCCACACAAAAGGGAAGAGAAGAAAAAAAAAAAAGCAACCACCAAACCCCAACAACTTCTACAAGACAAAAACACTGGGCAATTTTTATGGGGGAAGAAGTGGCCAAGAATAATTTATTGGAAAAGTAATTATGTAGGAGAGAGTGGGCTCTTCTCTCTGATTAGAAACGATAATATTTTCCAGCCTTACTGAACACAGTATAGGAGGAGCATCAGCATTTTTCTTCACCAACCTGGTTAAATCGAATATAAAGTTAAGATGTTGCTTTCCTCTTGGTTTTTTTTCTCCTTACACCCAATACTGCAATTGAACCCACCTACCTCTATCTGGGGCAAAATCTAATCTGGCTGCCACAAGACCTGTGAAATTCATGGAGGTGATGAGCCAGGGTCTGCTTTCTGCATTGTATGTCTGGCTTTATTGAATCTCTAGTCACCCTCAGATAATAAATATTTCATATGTTGGACAGGTGAAAGGTTTCATTCAGCTGCAGATCTGCTTCCAAGGCAACCGATTCCTGTCATTTGAACAGTTTAAACATGTTGAAAACAAAGCTTGCTTTCTGATTTTCTCCTCTATGATTTTATGTGTAAAGCATTATCCATCTCTGTCCTGTCCTTCCTACAGGCAGATACAGCAAAGCTGACAGCATTAACAAGTAATTCTTAACAATTTTTAACCTAAATGTGTTCTCTCTTCCAGTCAAGATGGGATGCAAAATGCCATTTCATTTTACAAGCATAGAACAAATACCTAGAGATATGAAATTGCCTGGGTTAGCATCTATACCTACTCTGTATGCAAAAAATGTATGCAACCACAGTACTACACTACTCTTTCCTACCTGTTGCATTGTGGAGAAAGGAGAAATCTGTTGGAGCAGCAGTGAAATTTTGGTAGGCAGACTCCAAGTAAAGGGATTGTTACCATCTCATGTCAGGCTTAGATGCATTTGTTTATGTGTCTGACGTTCTGTGTGGATGTTCCCTTGATGTAATTAGAACAGAACGGTGGCATTTCTTCAGAAGGCACGCAGATGTCATAGGAAATAAAGACAGAGGTGATGGAACTGAGGGGTTTAGGTATTCTGATGGCAGTCCATGCATTGGTGTCTTATTTAATGTCTCTGTCGTCTTCTACTTAATGTACAGGTGCTTTCCACTGGTGCTATATATGGGGAATAGGAAAGAGTTCTAGATCAGTTCAGAAAGACCGACATGACATGTATGACTGCTGTTTTGGGTTTAGGGAGGTGACGGGAAGCAGGTACAGTTTCTGACAGGTGTCTTTGTGTTTGGTAGCCCTGTGGCTGATCCCTCTATTAGAAACAATTAAATTATATCTGACCTTAAAGCCCTCTCCCTTCTGTATCCAGGCATATAGATTTTAGCCAGCAGGTCTCTGGTTAACCTTCCTTGCTGTTGTTTATTTCCTGCCACTCTGCAGACACACCACTGAGTGTTAAGTATGTGAACTCAAAGACGGTCCCTCTCTCCTGTGCAGTCTTAATAGCAAACAGTCACAAGCTGAGCTTCTCTAGACAGAATTATTTCTACCTAAGAAATATAGGCTTCAGGAGTATGCCCTTTCCCTCACCCTTTTCAGATTGCATTAAAAGCATCCACTTCAAGAAACTACAACCGTGTTTATTCGAGTGTTGAATTTGGAAGTAGTGCTGGGATCCCTGCCACGGCATGCTTGAACCGTGAAACCCAGGTCAGTTCCATTTTTTGGTTTTCATGTACTGGCACAGTGCTGCAGCAGTTTGAGCTTCCAGGTCTCTGTGGGAGCAATACTTCTTTTAACATGCAGAAAACATCATATTTGATTTTATAACCTTATCTCTTGAGTGTTTTTTTTATTTTTATTTTTATTTTTTGTACTACTAAACCAAAATGTCAGGGTGGCATGTCAGTAAACACAATACGTTCAAAAAGGATCATGCTGACAGGCTCGAAAACTAAATGCTCTCTTTTAAAAAACAGGTGGGAACAGCTCTGATTTTCCTTCTTGCCCACAAGGCTATCCCTGGACCTGAGGGGACAGCTGTGCTTAATCTGCCTTTTGCTCTGTCACTGTGATTGCCAGCTATTGCACGATGTAATGCACTGTCGGGCTATGGGAGGACAAGTCTCAATCACCATCTACTGAGGTTGACTTTGTGACTCAAAGGCTGCCGATTCAATAGCCCCTAAATCTTGTCGGTGAATCAACCCCTTCTCTGTCTCCCAGCCTTCTGTGGTATTATGGATTTTGTGGGTTTGTCGTATTGCTAGAGAAAAAGGTGCTGGGGCAGCTATTGGATTGACTGCAATGTATGGGTGGTGTCACTACGGTTGCCTGGGGTGCTTTCTAAGGAGGCTGTTTTTGTTAATAAATCTAGTCTAAATCTCAGACTTCAAATTTCACCCCAACTGAGTTTGCATTTCTAAAATTTCATATTCATAGTCTTTCACTGCAAGGTAGATTTGCGCAGGGAGAATCAAAAGTAGCAAGAGTAGGTTACCTGCAATTTTTGTTCCCCCCAAGTATGTGTTGGATGACTATTTGAAGGCACAGGACTGTTTGACTGCTTACTGGGAAAACGTCTGGAGGCAGCAGTGCTTTGCACAAGGAAATTTGTTGATGTTTTGCTGTGGTGTGTATCTGACTCCCCTTTAATTTCTGTCCCCTGATCCCCAGTGGTTGTATGCTTTGATGTTGCTGGGGATGCTCTTGGAGTAAGGGCTCCTCTCAGTGAAAGTTATGCTCTGCCATCATTTTTTTATGTTTCATACAGTGGGTGAAGAATAATCTGGAATACACCCAACTATAGTCTTTCCGTCACCAAAAAGCTTGCACTTAGAGCTATTGTCCCCTTCGGTCACCAAATGAGTCTGGAGAGCCCCAGTCCAGCCCCAAGTCTGCTTTAGCTTTTCTGTGCTACATTGAATTACTCTTACATGTAGGCACGTTTCCCTTCTTTTCAACTTTTCTGTCTTAGTGCATTTGTCCCATTTCTAATTATTTTAGGTCAAGTCTGCAACAGCTGAACCAAATATAGTAAAGGTAATACTCTGTGATCTTCCTGCAGCAGGAAATTTTGTATGAAAAGATAAATATCTTTTTTAGGTATTATGTTTATTGAAGACAATGGGGAGATAAGTTTTGAGTGACTGAAAATTTTTTAACTGCACAATTAATGTTTAATTGCTATTGGCAGCCAAGAAATGCCTTTCTGGATTAGCCAGACAGTGCTTCAGGGATATGTATAGGTGGCAGAAAGTGATAAAGCTGGTGAAACCGCACCTCTGGGAACATGTAATGGGATCTTTCCTGTGATATGCAAATTATGCTGCCAAGTTGCTGTATAAACAATTCATGGGAGAAGTGGTGAGAGGTAGTTAAATAGCTGGATCACATATCAAAGATAAAATCCATCACTGGGAATGAAAAAATGCATTAAAAGAATGATTTTGCTTTTAAAAATAAATAAATTATAATAATAAAATCTTTGCCCAAAGCATGTAGTTGCACTAAAGAGTAAATAGCAAAAGATTTATCACAATTGTTGCAGTTCAGAGTAAACGAGCATTTAGGAAACCATTGTGCATAGAGTTTGTGAAAAACAAGACTTTTTCTAGTACAAGTAATCTAGCCAATAATGCTTTTTTTCCTCTTCTGCTGAAAAAGAAGATTACTTCAGAATGTTAATTTAGTTACTTTTCAGGCAGAAGACATTCACTGCTTACTTTTCAGCAATAAAACTGATCCTGATGTTTCTATTCTAAGCATGAGCAATGATCTCAGGCAGCCCAGCAAAACATATTTCAGGGTCACATACAGCCATAGATCAATGAGTGTACACAAAGCCTTTTGACACCAGCAGAAGCTGAGCTCATGGCTGCAGTCTGGGTTTCAACTTCTTGTATTTTATACTATATGAGGAAAGGATTCCAGCTAATCACACTCCTCCAATAAATCAAAAATTATTCTTTCCCAAATGACATTGAAGCCCTCATTGACATTGTGTGCAACTGCATTGTTTTTCCACAGAGGTCAATCCCTGTAGCACTTGTCCCTCAGCCCTTTCCTCTATGTGCTGTTCATTTCAGCTGGTGTAGCTCAGCTGAAGCCAACTGAGAAGCCTCTGATTAACTTCACTGGGAGCTGGATCATGTGCTAGAGTCCTAAGGGACTAGCAGCAGAAAATTTAAGGAGACCACAGGGAATATTAAAGCATCATGAGGCAAGGGAAATATTTTTGGCCTTTTACTTTCTTTTGTTTTGCTATGTAATAGGAATCATAGGATGGTTTGGGTTGGAAGGGACCTTAAAGACCATCTAGTTCCAATCCCCCTGCCATGGGCAGGGACACCTTCCACTAGACCAGGTTGCTCAAAACCTCATCCAGCTTGGGCTTGAACACTCCCAGGGATGGAGCATCCACAACCTCTCTAGTCAACCTGTTTCAGTGTCTCACCATCCTTATTGTCAAGAATGTCTTCCTTATATTAAATCTAAATCTACACTATTTCAACTTAAAGCCATTACACTTTGTCCTGACACTACAGGCCCTTGTAAAAGGGCTATAAGGTCTCCCCGGAGCCTTCTCTTCTCCAGGCTGAACAAGCCCAACTCTCTCAGCCTGTTCCCATAGCAGAGGTGCTCCAGCCCTCTGAGCATCTTCGTGGCCTCCTCTGGGATTGCTCCAACAGGTCTGCGTGAATGATACTTTAGATAGAGTTGTCCAGTCATAATAAACAGATCCAGCTTTTCAACAAATATATCTGATTCTGTTCTGTGTTTAATCACCCACGAAAGCTGTGTCAGATGCTTTTCCACCAGGAACAATATCTGCTAATTAACTGTAATTAAGGTATATTATAACAACAGGATGTGAAACTAGATGGATCTGTCTCTTGACATTTCAAATTTGGATATTTTTTTTTTCTGCCAAGTCTCTTAATATGCTTCAGTTAATGATAACAGAGGCCAGGCCATTTGCAGTGATGGATCTGCTTACATGAATCTTAGTACCACTGAGATGAGATGGAGCATGAATCCACCATTAAAACCCCCATAGAAACATGCATTGACCCCAATTAAGCTGAATTTACTGGCCCATATGTTGAGTACTGTGAAGCCAAGGGTCAAAGCTTGATTGCCTTATCCTGGAAAGTGCAAAAACTGTCCCAGAGATGACACAGAAGTCTATTACCTTGTCTGCAGGTTCTTCAGAGGATCTGTTGTTATTCATAGCAGGCATGGCATCTCTTTTCATTCACTGAGAAGCCATAAAAAGCTGTTTTATACATTCGCTATTTGAACAATTACATTTTTAGCTTGAATGTCCAATGAATTTGATTATCACCTAGAAGATTATTGCTTCTCCTCTGATCTGTGGTAAACATCAGGACTTCACCAACCGATAAGCTGTTGGAGAGATGATTAGTAGTAAAGCTTAGGTATAGTCTTTGTATACCTAGCTTAGTGACAGCTTAACAATTAAGACTTTTTAAAATATTCCTGAATGAAAGGAAATTGCCAGCTAAAAAGAGAGAAATTCCTGGCTCAGGCATTTCTGGCCATGTAATTAAATGGAATGTGCTGCTCCCTTGCCCTGAACCACATTTGTCTTTAAGAAGATTAACAACATCGAATTTCTACTAAGGCTGAGATCTTGTTTATACCCTGAAATATGGACTAACACAACAACATGCTACAACTCTGACTGCCTACTCCTCCTGAACTTGGTGATGCTTCACTGTGTGCCAGTGGCATCGCAGTGTTACCAACCCATGGGACTTGGGGAGGGGTTCTGTTTCAAAGGTGAGCATACATGTAACTGGTTTTCTGCAGCATTTGGTATGGTTTATAGCTATTTGCCTGAAGTAATCTATTAGATGCCATAAAGCGTATGCAATTGAAAAGTCTTATGTAAAATAATAGGAAAAAAAGATGAAAAGTGTATCTCCCATGCCATTCAACTGAGGAGTTCTGTTGTGATCAGGACTTAAGTGATCTACTGTATCTGTGATTGCACAATATAATCACGTTCCTGGGATTTTTTTTTTCCTCTCATTTATTTTTAGCTACCTCAGACCCTTATAACTTTCTGAAGAAAATACGTCATACATTTATTTGAATTGTATTCCCAAGCACAATAGTGTTTCCAAGTAAATCAGTTATCTGACTGAGAAATGACATGATTACAAACTTTTAGTTTTAAGATACCAGTAAACAATTTTTTTTTTTAAAGTCTCATATTTTGTTTGCATCTTATGTGCTCATACTCCCTTGATCACAGGCAGGAAATATTTTTGTACACTGCTGCTATGCATGATTAAGAAAGGAGCTGTAGATAGAACGAGATGAGATATAGGCTGTAATTTACACCTGACAGAGTGTGAATTTCGTTGCTAGTCCTTTTAAAGGAAACTCTCTGTATTCTCCATATTCAGATAGAGAGCGATTCCGTAAGAAATGATAATTGTCTTTTGTTTGTTTGTTTTACTAATATTTTGTTTTGGTTTTTACTAGAAAAAAGATATTCCTTGACCTAATGCAATCCTGTGTTATCAGCAGGCCCAGGCCATAGTCCTGCGATGCTGAACATACTCCATAAGCAGCGGACAGCCTGTGTAGGCAAGATTAATAAAGTGCTGGATAAAGAAAGTATTATCACACCATTTCATGGGTGGGGGATCAAGGCACAGACAGTTTAAATTATTTGC